GCATTAGCCTTCTGAAATACAGTAGTTTGTCCTTCACGAACTTTACAAACCGTTAGTTGGACAAACCCTTCTGCAATTCTCAGAATCACTTTTCCTGCAGACTGCTAATTTATCTTGTCTTCTGGTCTGTTGGAAAATTGTCTGTACAAAAAATATTTCTACTAAAATTTTAATATTTATTATAATATCAATTAGCTCTAAAAGTTGAGGGGCCGCACTTTGTGGTTATGGGGGCCGCATGCGGCCCGCGGGCCGCAAGTTTGACACGGCTGGTCTAGTCCATGAAAGCTGAAGGGACGAATAGCTGATAACATTAATACGGTAAATCCACGCACATTGGTGACGGTAAGATATTCCTAGGAACACAGTTTGCCTTGATATATCATTATATCTCGTCTTTACAATGTCAAAATCTGGTGGTATTATTCAAATGGTTTGTTCAAGTAGAAATATGTGCAGGGACAATTTCTGTCAGTTCCTCTTGTGTTACTGGTATCACTGACACCAAATAACCTCAGCAGCTCTAGTACTGGAAACAAACCTGCCTGCAGGACCTTATGGGCCAGGTCTTTTGTGGTGTCGAACATCTCCCGATTGAGGCTGAGCGCCTCTTCTATGCTGCTGACCCTTACCCCCGCGCGGAACCTCGTGAGGCGCTGTCGCAACTTCTCTAGGTCCGAGACCACGCCCTCTGTCTCCTTCGTGAACGCCTCCACATCCTGAAACAGTTCGTCACACTGAACAATAAAATGAACTAAAGTCTCTTTTGGTCTTAGTTAATTCGGTACCAGCTCCTGCCGCTTTACTCCCGGTACCCCTTATACAGAAGCTTGGGTTATCCCCAAAGCCGCTCTGGACATTGTGGAGAAGAGAAAATCTCTTGCTTCTGCCGAGAATCGAACTTCGACTCCTCGGTCGTCCAGCCCGTAGCTCAGTCGCCCGGGCAGTGGTCTGAGGAAGTCGCCCTCAAACAGAATCTGTCACTACTGATCAATTTCCAAGCGCAAGGACTCAGCACTCCAAGCACACAAGCTGCCGTGCGTGAAGTACCGCTGCAAGTGCGATTTACGTAGGTTCTGCCATGAGAAGCAATATTTTGTCATCAGAATCTCATCTGTAGAGATAACATGTCCAGAGAAATGGGAGGAGAGCTTTGATTTCTTTCATCGCCTCGATTGTAAAGCACGAAAATAATTTTACGAATAGAAATGACAGAATTAGTTAGAGTTGTGTACATATTGCGTAGTATATTACATATTAAACATTATGTGCTTATAAGTGTAATAGTTTTTTCTTCTATGAAGATAGGTTTTGGTTAACTATTCTTGTTTCAGCTCTATTCATGCTTGCAGTGCTGGTCTAGTGTTTTGCGCTTCGGTTTCAACACAACTTTATGCAATTTTCTGTATCGATGCATTTATTATGTAAATATATGAATAATACGGCAGTCATAGCATCAGATGTTAAGATAACTGAGTTTTCTTTCTTACGTCTTTGAGAGAACAGTCCAGTCAGAGTTAATGACTGTCAAAAAGAACAATGGGAACAAACTCAGATCAACAGTGGGCCACGTACAATGCGGTTCTGTAACCACTGGTTGTGGTCATACGAGCAGCTGCCTCCCAGTTCTTCTGGAAGTTGAGACAACTCGACGTATTTATGGAGTCTGCAAACTGGAATGTAGACGGGCTGGAATATAAACAGAACATCAACACTTTGTGTGAAGACAAGACTGACAAACCATAACTGGCTTTCTCTTCTCTTTTACACATGTTCCCGTGAGTAGATTACATAAATTTGAGATTTTTTTCTTCCAACAGAGATTTGCTGAAGTAAAACCATGCAGGAGAAAATAAATCAAGCCTTACTTCATAATATATGCAGCAGGGTTAGGTATTCAGGTCATTATGAGGGAATATATTATTATTGTCTCTTTATTCTCTCTCTCTCTCTCTCAATGTGAAGGCGCTGACGTTTATTGTGAGATTGTTTCATTGGTCTTCGTCTTACGGGTTTCTCAAGAATTTATTCGAAGCAGTTTTATTTTAACTTTTGTTATAGTTACTAATGGTATTCTGTTATACAGAACTGAATAAGGGCCAGGCCCTGAATGGGCTGGAAGAGCCATTGTAAAAAAAGAATGTTATACAGCGTGGCCCAAAATTCAGTTAACTTGAAGTATTCCCTCGCATTTGCGGGAATGTTCAGATTTAAACTTGATAATAAATTTGTAGAAAGGTATCACAGCGCTGTGAGTTGTGCATTGAACACTGAGGATCTCATTTTGAATAATTTTGGTAAATTCAGTAAGTAATAAATTTCTGATTTCTTTTAGTGTGCATTTTAATAACTAGTTAACTAACTTCTGGACCTCTCTGTACATATCTTCGTCCTAGAAAAGATTTCGTTGAAGAGCATAATCAGTTTGGACGTCTGAGTCTCACGCAGCCGAGTTCTAGGAATGTCCCCTCATCCTTATCCAAGAACATCAACGTCAATTGTCACCTACTGCCAGCGCCATACCTCAGGCGGTTAGTTGCTGGCTTCCCGCCGCGGCGGCCCTGTTTCGAGTCTGGGTCAAGTCATGTGGGATTTGTGGTACGCAAAGTGACACTGGGTCAGGTTTCCTCCAGGTACTTCGATTTCCCCCACCAATGTTCATTCCACCAATTGCTCCACAATCACCCTCACCTATCATCTTGGGCTGGTACAATAGGCCAGAAGTGGCTGCAGTACCCAGTGGACTCAGTCTCACCCCACTAAGAATAATAAAAAAATAACTACTGCCAAAGGCTTAATTTATGACTAGCTTACTTACTTACTGTGGAGCTCAGGCCTTCTGGATGAGCTGCCAATTCTGCAGCTACTCAAGAACTTCCCAGCACTTTATGGAACCCAAAGATTCATTACCGTGTTCACAAGAGCCCACCACCAGTCCCTGTCCTGAGCCAGATCAAACCAATCAACACCATCCCATCCTATCTCTCTAAGATCCATTTTAATATTGTCCACCCACCTACGCCTTGATCTTCCCAGTGGTCTCTTTCCTTCTGGCTTTCCCACCAATATCCTGTACGCATTCCTCGTCTCCCCCATTCGTGCTACAATTTATGACTATCTAGTTACTTAAAGATGGACAGTGTTGCAATGGAACTTTGATAGAGAAGAATACCTTTGCCTACTATAACTACAGCAGCTAAATAATTACAGTCAGTCCACTGACAAACGTGCTGTTTGTAAAGTTACATTCTCTTTTGTGACTAACAGGATTCTCTCATAGATTGAAGTCACAGTCAACTATACATGAGACTCTTGGACTCTCTTCTGAGGCATCTTTAGAGACGATACAGGTAGAAGTTTCATCGGTTCCCGAATGTGAAAAGTACATTTTTTTAATACCTTGCAACAATATTGACTATAAGTAAGGGTTATTGACTCTCATGCAACTCAGTACTGCAGTGAAACGAAAGTATTGTCATTTCTAATAACGTTTGCTACTTTACATCAACGGCGAATGGATTTTTCGGTGTTAAGTTGTCGCTGCTAAAATACTGTGACGTGATGGAATGATTATAGACTGGGTTTGGATTGGCAATTGGATCTATTGAATACTCAGAGATCGCAATTACTAGTGACTATAGCGCTATCACCTTGTATCACGAGACCAGGAGGCATTTGTGGCGAACACAGCTATGTTGGAGATCTGACCAGGGATTTCCTATTCCGGCTCTGATTCATTCATTTCAACAGCCAATTCGACTTTAAATGAGCGTAAGAAATGGCTCAGCTGCAGTAAAACTACAAATAAATAATTGTGATAACATAAGAGGGAGATTTGCTGCTAATGAATGTGTTTAGGTTATGTCGCTCTCGCACTGTAGTGATTTTCATGAATTACGCAAGATGGCAGCTGAGTGCTCTTTTATTTGAAGGATAAACATTTAACACAATGAACTGGGAGAGAATGGAATGATAATAAGAAACGAAAGGGACGTGAAGTCAGAAGATATGAAACGAATAATTCCTCACTGAATTTGAACAGGATTTTCCGCTATCTTCTAGCATATAACGCCGTGCAGCCCGTAGAAAGTCAATCGACTTTTCGAAGAAACTTGTTCCGTTTTCGGGGTCGAATAATAAAATCATATATGCTTGCCACCTGCTTTCACTCTGGTGTCTTGCTTGACTTATTCTTCGACCATGACGATAGAGGCGACATGTTCTTCCAGAACATCGGTAGACTTTTCACAGACTTTCCACGGTATTATATCCCAGGAGGCATAAATCTACGAGTAACAGTGGCCGCACGATCCAAGGCAGTGTTTCTTAACTACCGGGCCCTCGTCTTAAAGATAAAAGAATTTACCGGGCCGAGGTCTGACAAAGGCTGAGAACCACTGGTCTAGGGCATGAACTGTCTTCGCTTGCTCGAACGCTGGGATCGTGGGTTCGGACCTCATTCAAAGCATGGTTGTTAGTATGTATATGTGTTTATTCTGTGTTTGTGTTGTCCTGTGTAGGTAGCGGCCTTGCGACGAGCTGCTCACCCGTCAAAGGAGTCCTACCGTCTGTGTAAGAAAGATTACGAAACTGAAGAGACCAGGCGCAACAATGGGCTGCAGAGCCCCCGATGAATGAATAACAGGCAGAAATCTTCACAACCACCGCTGTGAGAACATCTAACCCTACAGGATCTTCCTCGTGTATTGTTATGACGATTAAAAATCAATATTCGACCAGATGTTACTTGCTGATCTATTCTATTGCATAAACGGAGTACAAATTACGAAGGCCCTCGTTATTAAGTTCAACCAGACCAAGCATTCTGCCATTACATCCATATGTCAGCACCGTTACCCGGTACGTGCTGTCGCCCCTTACCTCTCCTTCCTTCTGCGTGCGTGTGCAGTTGTCCACGCGCTGCTTGTCCCAGAACGCCTCCGGCCGGAGCACGATAAGGGCGGCAGCGTCTGCGCCCATTGTGACGCCCACCTGTCGCATACAGGCACGCGCCGTGCGCCAGGAGCTGCGCGTCGCGTCCAGCACCACGGCAAGCCCATTGCGTCGTGTTTCAGGACTGGAAACAGACAGACTGAAAGTAATGCCACATTCCTCGACTACAGAAAGCCAAGGCACAACAAGAATGGCTGCCGTCAGAAAGGCTTCTGTTACTGAGAGGCGATGTAACATGCGGGGTACATATTACATACGAACACTGTATATGACATTGAAAGTGAGCAGGTTCATTGGACACGGCTTATACACGAGGTATCCGCATAGAAGCATTCCGCATTTGTCTTTGTATATGGCACTGTTTTCTGCCGACAAAGATGTCCTCTAAAGCTAAGGCTGAAAGGTTTATGACGTAAATACAGCGAATTCCTGAAGTGGAAAGAGTCAGAAAACGTTTTTCAGTGCGCCGTTAGATGCGGCAGCATAAACGTAGCACAACTTGGAGCTCTATACAACGGCGAAGTGTTTAACTGACACTACATAGGATGCCGTGTGATACGAGTAGCCTGCAAACAGCCGGTTGAATAAACACACCGTCACCGGTTTCGATAGTGTTGTGCTGATAACGGACAGGTGTGAAGTGTGAACAGTGCATATTCTGGGACGCTTTCGGCAGTCAGACTTCATGGCATCGAACGGTGGAAGGAAGGATCATGCACTGGAAATGGTCGGGGAAAAGCGGTCGTGGCCTAATTGAGACAGTATCCAGGAACTTGGAGGAACTGAGGAAAACCAGAAAGTACCTCAGTCCAGAGAGAGTCGAGGGTACTTCCGGAATACAACTGTGGAACACTAGGGCCACGCCAGCGCGTTCGATGTGTGTTGTGTAAGAGAACGTTGCAAATACCTGTATATATGTTCACGTAAGCCTAATAAACTTTTTAAATTATTTGGAATTGTGTTTCAAACATTAAACTCTTACAGCGCATTGCTTTGGCGGGAGAGTGTAACTTTTTAGCAGCGCGAGATATTTTCCTCGCAGTCAACACTATGAGGGCCCAGGAAATATTTGTCAAATTGCTTTATCGCGATTACTTTGTGTTCTTTATTGTGTTGTTAAACGCAGAGAAAACTGAGTACATGTTACTGTCTCGTCACCAAAATGCAGGGCAAAATCATGACATAAAGATAGGAAACAGATGTTTTGAAAACGTGGCACAGTTCAGATGTTTGGGAACGACGGTAACAAATCAAACCCTGATTCAGGAGGAAACTATGAGGCGATTGAACTCGGGTAACGCTTGCTACCGTTCAATCCATAACCTTTTGTCTTCTCGTCTGCTGTCCAAAAACATAAAAATTAGAATATATAAAACTATAATTTTGCCTGTGGTTCTGTATGGGTGTGAAACTTGGTCTCTGACGTAAAGGGAGAAACACAGACTGAGGGTGTTTGAGAACAGGGTGTTGAGGAGAATATTTAGACCGAAGAGGGATGAAGTGACAGGAGGCTGGAGAAAACTGCATAATGAGGAGCTTCATAAATTGTACTCTTCTCCAGGTATAATTAGAATGATAAAGTCAAGGAGGATGAGGTGGGCAGGTCATGTAGCACGAATGGGGGAGACGAGGAATGCGTATAGGATATTGGTGGGAAAGCCAGAAGGAAAGAGACCACAGGGAAGACCAAGGCGTAGGTGGGTGGACAATATTAGAATGAATCTTAGATAGGATGGGATGGTATGAATTGGATAGATCTGGCTCAGGTTAGGGACCAGTGGAGGGCTCTTGTGAACACGTTAATGAAACTTCAGGTTCCATAAAATGCTGGGAAATTCTTGAGTAGCTGTAGAACTGGCGGCTCCTCCAGAAGGGTTCAGCTCCATGAGTAAGTAAGTGTTATTACGAACGCACTGCTAATTTCGAGGTCAGGGTGGGAGAGAGGGAAAACAAAGTGAACCTTCAGTTTGCATTTTTAAGATGTGCCCGACGATTGTCTTGAATGACATATTTTTCAGAAAAATTCCGTAGCCTGTAGTCCGCAAGCGAACTGTACCGACCGAGCGACCGCCGCTTGTCGGCGAAGTTAGTGCCAACTTTAGCGGATAGAGGATGTCCAGTTGTCAGCGGAACGAATTCCCAAGGTCGTTAATCTCGGTTTTCTAGACCGGAGCCGCTACATCCTTGAAATAGCTCCTCACTTATCCTCACGAGGCTGAGAGGACCCCGTTATATATTTATCATACGTTACGAAATTTCATAGTAGGGGGATAGTATTAAACTGAATCTTAGGTGAACAGGTTTGGGTGGTATAGACCGAATCCAACTGGCTGAAGAAAGAGACCAGTGGCGGGCTCTTGTGAACACGATAATGAACCTCCGGGTTCCAAACAATGTTGGGAACTTCTTGAGTAGCTGAGCTACTGGTGGCTTCTCAAGATGGGCTCAGCTCCATGGAGTTAGTTATGTAGTTAACATTTCTCGTGAAAATGGATCAGGTAGTGTAAACTCCGTGGCTTTTAGTCCGCAAGCAAACTATACCGACCAAGCGACCGTCCGCTTGTCGGCGAAGTTAGTGCCAGCTTTAGCGGATAGAGGGTGTCGCGTTGTTAGCGCAACGAATCTCCACGGCCGTTAATCTCGGTTTTCTAGACCGGAGTCGCTACTTTTCAATTCAAGTAGCTCCTCAGTTGTTCTCACGGGGCTGAGTGGACCCCGTTCCAGACCCACTACTTCTCAGAAAATGTGGTGGCGCCAGGAATGGAACCCGGACCTCTGGATCGGTAGCCAGGAACTGTGACCAAACTGAAGTACAAAACTAGGAACGGAGGAGAACAGGGAGACACATGCAGCTTAGCAACACTGTTCCTGAGAAGGGCGTCTCCCCATTATAAAATGACATCCGAGACTTTCAAGCTATGTGACAGAGTGAACATTTACTTCACTACGATACAAATACGCGAAAGAGAACTTACCTGAATATGAAGAGGAAGTATCTGAGGACAGTGTCCAAGTGGTCCTTGTTCCAAGGCTGCGTCTCAGAAGGTACTGACACCAGCAGCAAAGGGCGCCCTTCAAGGTCGCGGCCTCCAGGAAGGATAGCTGTCTGTGCCTGGAGCGCTCCCAGGATGTCCGCTGCCTCCATACTCCCCTGAAGGACACGTGCTCTTTGTTTCAGTGGTTCCAGCTCCGAGGTTAGCAACAAAGAAATCTTCTGAGGGAAGTTTGGGAGAACATTCTTAGTGCAATCGCAATACAAATTTTGAACACGCGCCTGTTAGCTTCTTTACGTCACTCTGTCCCTCCGTCTGTCCGCAAGTAACAATTCGAGAATCGAAAAATTGATTTTCACACTGTGGGCCGGGTTACTGCATTTTTTAAAATATATATCAGTTTTGGTTAAAATCGGAAACAACAGTGCACTGCTTACACGAAGTTCTACTCGAGTTTCTGAGAGCCTCTCTTATGTAATTCAATAATTAATATTCAACAGATGTACGGAAATATGGAACACGTATCGGGTTTCGAAGTACTTAAACAAAAACAAACGAACGCACTAGAATCATTACGCTACTCCTTCATGTCTGAAATTGGCTTCTTTACTTTCGGTACTGCAAACTGAAATGGGTTTATTTTACCAGCTACTTATTACAGTGATACGGACTTATCTGTCTGCTTGTCTCTCTCTCTTTCTCTCTATGTGTCTATCTGTTTATCTGTCCATCTATCCATGTGGAGAATTGAACCCCGGTAGCCCAGCTCATAGCGCAGTCGCTGCACCGACTGAGCTATCCCACCGCTCATTTCGTATACAAAGCTTCCTATTCTAAAAACTTCTCCAGGACTGAGTGTATCCATAAATTTTGAAGCAAATCCTTGTAAAGGAATACTCATCAGACAAGGTTAATGAAATTGAACTACCGTAGCTATGGTTCGTTTCCAGCAAGCAACAGTCATATCAAGACAATACATGAAGATTTCAGTAGTTGCTAAAGGTTTTATCTTTGTTTCTTTCTCACTCTGCAAACAGTTCCGCTGACTCAGTTCTTACCGTCTGGCTTACCCATTGACTTTAAACTGTACCACTGAACTGAAAGTAAGTCGGGGAAGTGTAACCACGCGCATAACCAAAACCGATTGATTGGTTCCGACGTTCTGTCAACTACAGACCTAGAAAAGTATGACGGAAGCAGCCACAATCTAATCACGTTTACGCCTCTGCAAAGACCCTACAACTGGACAAAGTACTATGTAGGCGAGAAACGTACAGTCAATGACTTGTATGAAAGGAACTTAAATAAATGGAGAAGCAGCCAGTAGAGCAAGGAATTAGGATAAAATTACTGGGCGAAGGGGGAGGGGTGCAAAGAGGACTGTGGGGCCGTTACAGACATACAATTGGCTAATCGGTGAAGACAAGAAGAAAACATCGAAACTCATCTCCTGGAATTAAGGACAGCCACGACCAATCTGTAAGAATAGGCCAAGAATTGATCCGGGGGCCACTCGAACATAAATGAAGCAATTATATTGATCCGTCCAGCTTGGTACGACGCTGTCAGCTGTAGTTGTGGTTCAGTATTGAATGAAATTAGGTGATTTCTTTGTGCACAGAACAGCCTGCGAAGTGAAGTGGTCATAGCTGATTTAAGGCTATTATCCCGAAATTGAAAGATCCTTTACTGGATGAAATACAGATGCTTGTGAGAAACCGGAGATCGAAAATATAGCTTAAGAGACTCCACGCAGGGCTATGGCAAGGGATCGGAAGGCCATGTAGATGGGATCAGTGAAGATTTGTAGAGAACATAGAAGATCCCCAACTGTAGTGTCTGTGGAAAGCTAAGAAAATTCCAATACAAATCACGCGTTTTAGCCGTGGCCCAACCAAAATGACACGACGCTGTATCAACTTCTAACTACTGGCACCGGAAACAGGTATTTAATTTCGTTATAATGACCTCATACGTAATACATATCTTCAGAATACATTTAGGTTGGAACCGCGCTCAGACATGGGCACAGCATGACTGTTCTTTGTGTATGAAACGTGTTTTCAACAAAAAGCAGGAATTTGCATCGTCCATGTCCAGAAGTCAGCATCTGCCACTGATTGTTACTGCATGCCCTACATAATATAACAGGTACTACGTGACAAAGCGTGTATCTATATACAGGGTGTCCCAGGAGGAATGGACCAAACTTCGGGAGGGTGTTCCTTATGTTAAAGTATGCCGATATAACCCAAAACACCTATGTCCAAAGTTGAACGGTTACGGAGATAATGGCCCGAGAAAAGTGTGGTCTTCTAGCGGGTCTACGGACTATACCTGTCAGCTGAGAGGCCTTATCTATGTTTGTCCTTGAGTGCCGTGATTCACCCTAGCCGTACTTATGTAGTTGGCTTTATCAGAACGCGCAGTCAGCCAAGTTAGGTCAGCGCTTGCCATTCATGTGTCATGTATAGTGCTTGGAAACCCTAAGGACAATTATGACATGGCGAGCGAGTATTTTGTACTTCAATTTTATGGCTTCATGTCACTCACAAGTTAGTTTTATGTTACGTACATTATTAACATTACAGAATCCACATATTCCTGCCAGTTTTAATATGTATTTTGTAATCAACAAGTGTGCAACGCCGGTCAAAGTTTCACACTTCTCTGGCCATTATCTCCGTAACCGTTCAACTTTGGACATAGGTGTTTTGGGTTATATCGGCATACTTTAACATAAGGAACACCCTCCCGAAGTTTTGTCCATTCCTCCTGGGACACCCTGTATATGGCTCTATAGCCCTTGTGGAACTCGGTCGCTTTTTCAGTTTCTTAATCCTACACACAGCCGGTAGGACTCACTGGACGGGGGATCAGCCCGTCGCAAAGCCGCTGCCTACACACAGAACACAAATACAGAATAAACGCACATAGACGTCCATGCCTTGAGTAGGATTCGAACCAACGACCTCAGGGTTCGAGAAGGCGAAGACAGATCATGCCTTAGACCGCGCGGCCACTGGGATCGGCGACAAAGCGTGTGTGGCGTCCATACAATAGAAATGACCTTTCATGGCCGTTGCGTGAGTGTGTATACTCTCGTGCTGAAGTACGGTGCAACAAACGTGGCGGCTCCTCAGAGAGACTCACCCCGTCCTCTCGTCAAAGAGGAGATCATATTTCGAAACACATGGCCTTAGAACGAACACAAATTTGGTGGCGAGGGTCAACAGCGATTTGTTGCTATGCAGTGCGAATGTCTTGGACGAAAGAAGGATAACTGCAACCAATCCTTGCGCAGATCTGTCCTCGTTACGTCAAAATGACTAGCCAAACCTTGAACCGAGGCTATTGGTGAAAGGCCTATGTTTCGATCACAAGACCGATAGACTGGCCTTAATACACGCGAATTCTTTTCTAGCGACAGGGTATTGTGACACGAAGCCAACGAAATATCACAGTTCAGTACGCACTGCTGTACTGTCAGGACTTCTGCAGTCAGCCAGAAGTGCATCGAAAGCAGTCTGCGTTGTCAAAAAGATGCAAGTAAGCTGTTATCAGTAGTTTTACTCAGAGTATTAGGAAAACATGACGTTCCAATCGGATTCAAACATAATCATCAACAACTATTTACTTTCCACCAGAGTGGGTTGCCTTTTGACAAGGCATCTTTGGTCTGTTCTTCCCTATTTTACACGCACGCACGCACACACACACTGCTGTCATTTGCTGTCTCTGTCTTGTCCTTTATCTCCCCAGTCGTCTATTTTTATCTCACTGTTTAATACCTTTGCAGGAAGGTTACCTTCTCCCGTGCACAGTACATGCTGACACCACTGTATCCCTAATTTCACCAGTCTTCCTTAATGTTTTTACTCTCGTACCAAGCTTACCTGAGGTCTGTGTATCAAAGTTCCGTACACGCCACACACATTGATTCATTAATCTCACTGTCCACAAAATTTATATTCAGATGCCAAAATTGGCGAGTAACATATTTTAGGATGCACAATATGAACACGATAATGATCCTCAAGTTTCAGAAAATGTGGGAAACTCCTTGATTAGCTTGTCTCTGTGTTCTCGTAGCATATCGCTTTATACGATTCGTTGCTGCGAGATTGTATTATTTTCTATAAATTATGCATCTGTACACGTATGAAATAAAGTGAAATTCGTCCGCCAGATTTTAGTGTACATTCGAAACACCTGCTTAATCGAAATTTAACAATTCTTTGGAAGATCAAATATTCTAAGAGGTAGGCAGTCATACGGAAATGACCTGCGCATTCCTGAGTTCATATTTGCGCACAGAAGACAAAAATCATAGTAAAGAAATCACAGACAGACAGAGACGGACTTACTTCTGCGTCACTGTCGGAATATCTTGAAAATACTAGGCCATGTACACTTCTCGACGTATTTGCGGTTTGCTTAGTCATTAAACTTAACGTAACCCACTGCAATGCACGGAGCCCCTCCCGCTGTCACTGGATGTAACTGCACAACTGGGCTCAGGCCAGGTGTGTTGCCTATTGCTAGGGAAGTGGCACTTCTGAATCGTTTTCTGGAGATGTCCAGTTCAAATTTCGGCAGGGACATAGAATATCATGACTTAAGTTTTTTTTGTAACTTTTCTCAGTCGTTTCAATGCATATGCACCTGACCTTGAAGTTGGTGACGATCGTTCAATCCATACAGGTTCCATTTCATGACTCACCGTAACATTCGCTCCTGTATGCTCTGAGATACTGAGAGCGCCGTTAAATAATCGTAAGTAAACATATGCTATCAGTTACTTCGGATTTTATTTAAGGTCAGTGGCCCTCAAAAGCAACCTCAATTTAACTAACGGAACCGACCACCTTACTGCATTCGCTTTACGCACGGCAGATGCACTGCGCCCATACTACAATGCAGAATACGAAACGTGTCACCTGTGAATCCGAATGCCCTGGCGCTGGAAGCAGCCGTCCTCATGGCACCGCACTGCTAACACACTGCGACCGGCTGCCCAACGCGGTCAACTGATCACTGATGAAGCGCGTTTAGCAACGGCGTGCCATGTCCTCTCATTGGTCGACATCTGCTGCCCCAGCCTCCAGCAGCAGGTTCGCCCCCCCCCACGGCCCCGGCCGACGGCATTCCGAAACACTGAACGGGATTTTCTCAA